AGTCAATCTCGTACGACCTCTCGCATGCATAGCACGCTAGTCGACGCGAGGGCCTAGGCGCGACGCACACCGCTGCACTACGCAGCACTGTACGGGCACGTGGCCGCGGCCACCGCGCTCCTGCAAGGCCGGACCGTCGTCGAGTACGCCTCGCTCTTTGGCCCGGCCGCAGACGCGCCGCTCGAAGGCAACGCCGACCCCAACACCACCACGAGTGTGCGTCATCTCGGCCATGTGTTCGTGTTGATATATTCGTCTTATGTGGTGCAGGACGGCGAGACGCCGCTGCATTGGGCGGCCCGACACCCGTTCCCGAGCCTCGTGGCCTGTCTGCTGCAGTACAAGGCCAATGTCCATGTCCGCAACTCGGTACTTCGTCGCTGCATGGACCATGTCTCTACCCATGTACGATACAACTTGTCGATGCTAGAAGGGCAAGTCGGCGCTGGACATGGCTGTCAAGCGCGGCTACACCGATGTCGTCACCATGCTGCTCGAGGCCAAGGCGAGCGTCCAGGAGGCCAACTGCGTACACTGCGACGTCGCGCGATGGAGATGTGGACATATTGTCATAGGATGGGTGGACGCCGCTGCATGTTGCCACGTGCCACGGCTACACGCTCATCGTGCGCCGCCTTCTCGACGCGGGGGCTGACGTCGATGCAACGACCACCGTACGCTGACGGACGTGTCTGTCTTGTCTGATGGCGTGGGGACCGGTAGGCGGGCGACACGGCTCTGCACGTGGCGGCGCGGTATGGCCACGACAGCATCATCGAAATGCTGCTCGCGTGCGGCGCCAGCACGTACATGTACAACCATGTAGGTTGGCGACGCAGCGTCTGTCGAGTCTACACGTGGCATGTAGACAGGCAAGACGGCACTTGCGCTCGTGAAGGCCAACACACAAGGCGCCTTGCTGCTTGAAGCTGACATGGTCGCGCTGGCCACCGAGGATGCTCACAACCAGCAGCGGCACGACCAGCTGGTCTGCGCCGCGCGCAATGGCGACGTACGCGAGACGGCAAAGCTCTTGGACGCGGGTGTCTGCCCCGACGACGCGACCGTATTGACGCATGATTGTTTTCTCTGTTAATCGTTGCGGCGTAGAGCTCGACCACGGCGCTGCACTGGGCGGCGGCGAAGGGCCATGCTCCGATCGTCGAGATGCTTTTGGAGGCCGGCGCCGACACGGACCCAGTGCAAGCCACGGTGAGAAAAACCATGGTTTCTGCAATCTATCAAGGTATCAACTAGGACTTGTGGACGCCGTTGATGCTGGCGGCCGCCCACGGCCACCTTGCGGTCGTGGAGAGCCTGCTGCGCCGCTACGCCAGCATTTTTCTGACGGATGCGGTGCCTGGTGTTGTTCTTGGCCGCGGCGACTGACGAGCTGCCTGTAGGAGGGCAACACGGCGCTTCTGATCGCAGCCACGCACGGTGCGACAGCGTGTGTCGAGCGCCTTCTGCAGGCGCAAGCCGACGTGTCGGCCACGAATGATGTACTTGCGATTGCATCCAGACAAGGTACCACACCGTGTGGCGTAGGCTGGGGACACGGCGCTTCATGTGGCCTCTCGCGGCGGCCACAGTGACGTGGTCCGCGTTCTGCTCGCCGCGCACGCTCCGCTGCATGCCATCAACCACGTACGACCCGCTTCCGTTCTAAGAAGACTCCGTAACGGAGCCTGGTGTGCTGTGCAGGCCAAGGAGACGGCGCTGGTCCTTGCGCCGTCGCACAGCGACGTGGAAGCGATCCTGGCCCCGCTTGTCCAGTCCCACGTTGGCCACGTACAAAGAGACTCGATCACATGTATCGATGAGGTGACGCGAGCGCGTAGCTCATCGAGGCCGTCGAGACGGGCGATGCTGCTTCCGTGCAAGCCTACCTGCAGGCCGGTCTGCCCGTGGATCTGCGCAATAAGGTAGACCGCATCATCGCGCGGTCGCGTGAGCAGGCGGCTAGGCTGGCCGAACGCTCCTGCTGCTGGCCATCGAGAAAGGCCAGACGGCCATCGTCGACGTCTTGGTGGCGGCCAAAGCCCCGGTCAACCAACGCGCCACCGTACGTACCACGCTATACCTCGTCGCTGCATGGACGGATGGCATGGGCGTAGGACGGCACGTCGCCGCTGAGCTTGGCCGCCGGTCTTGGCGAATACCGCGTCGCTGAGACCTTGCTGCAGGCGGGTGCAGACCCCAACACAACGCATCGTGTAAGGCGGATCCAACCCTTGCCCTCCCCTAACCCGATATCGTAGGAGGGCCGTGCGCTGCTTCTCGTGGCGGCCAGCGACGGACATGAAGCGCTCGTGCAGCTGCTCATGAGCACGGCGCCACGTCCATGCGGCTGACGCGTACGATCCGTCGCGCTGCACACGTGCGCATCCCTAT